GTCTACCATAGCATCTGGAACAGAGCAGATGCTCAGTAAATATCTGCTTTCTTATTTTAAAAGTTGGGGTAGGGAGAGACATGTAGTTAGAAAGGGTTTAGTAAGAGACAGAAAAAAGGAACATGTCTCCACAAACCTATGAATTAATGACAAACCATGAAACTAAACATGAGAGTAAAACATTCTGCTCAAGCATGGAAGTTTCAAACTGGTGGCTCTTGAGCAAAATAGGTATGGTGCACAGATTTGTTTTATCATACAATAAAATATGAATTTGTTGCAATTCTTAAAAATCAGGAGATTTTACATATAAATCTTTATTTCTGGCATCCCTTGAAAAATAAAATAAAACACCCAGAGGCCCTCATGGCAACAATGGGCTAAAGCTTGAGTCAAAGATTCAAATGGCAGTCTTTTAGATTTAGATGGGGTGGGCTCTCCTGTTGGCCACAGTCCCCACCGCTCCCTATTGTACTTCTAGACCAATTCACTCATTTTTGCCACTTGCCTTGATATTGCTGGCATTAAGTGTGACTATATCGTGCAGTGCTGGCGAACCTATGATACGTGTGTCAGAGGTGACATGCGAACTCATTTTTTTGGTTGATTTTTCTTTGTTAAATGGCATTTAAATATATAAAATAAATATAAAAAATATAAGTCCTTGTTTTACTATGGTTGCAAATATCAAAAAATTTCTATGTGACATGGCACCAGAATTAAGTTAGGGTTTTTCAAAATGCTGACACGCCGAGCTCAAAAGGTTCGCCATCACTGGTATAGTGCAAAGGGGTATCTATTGAGAGCTCAAAAGTCTGGGTTCCAGTCCTGGCTCGGCTACAAACTTATGTCTTAACTTGTGTAAGCCGTACAACTCTCTGAGCCACAGTTTTCTCATTTGGAAAAGGAAGATTTATACAAAACGATCTCTAACAGTTCTATAACTAGAATTCATATACAATAGTGTAATGAGCATGGGGGAGACAAAGAGTTGGCTCAGCTTATTTTATACTTTATTCCCTGAGTCCAATTCGCTGAAATGTTCCTTTCATTTTAATGCTAACGAATATTTCGTGAACCTAGGACAATCTAAAATGAAGTACATGTTCTCTGGCAATATATCTGGGTCTATTTGTGTGAACTGACTAGTCTCACTGCAATTGAAAGCCAGAAGACTGTTTCGGATAGATAGGTCACTTAGTGCCTTTCTTGACCATGTTCATTCCTATTATGGAAATTCTCACATTTCTCTCTGGGACAGTTACCCAGCCTATGACTACATGAAGAGTTCCAGAGCACAGAGCCTCAGGCTGTGCACATTCTTAAAGTATACAAGAACAGATCAAATGTAAAGACCACTATATGCAAAGGGTAGTCTTTGGAATGTGAAAGCAGCAAAAAAGATCCTGTCTAGACTAGTGAAGGACTGTACATGTCAGTCCTACAGATCACACTATAACTGTGGCAGCTGCTGCTTCAGCCCCGAGTGTGCAAAGCCAGAGCCTATAAATCACTTTTGAGAGACTTGTTCCAGGAATAAGACAGGAAGTTGGGCCTTCTGTGCCACACTTAAAAAATATAAACTCAGTAGATTAGTTTCACTAAAAATCCATTATTTAATTCATCTTCCTAAAGCCCTAAGAAGTTGAGCAGGAAAATGGTACTTATCAATCCTGATTTACAGTTAGCAAAGCCATGGGCCCAGAAAGCTAAAACCCCATACACATTGTACTCAAGATTCACCTCAACAAATATATTTATTGTGCCCTTGCTGTGTGACAGGCAATGGAGACAAGATAATGATGAATAGCTACGTTTCTTAGTCCCCAAGGAGTGGACAACATAGGTAAACATAAATCTCTATATTTCCTATTCCCTAGGTTATATACTTTATTAATCCTCACCTGAGGATGTTTTCCCATTGATTTTTAGAGAGAGTGGAAGGGAGAGGGAGAGACAGAGAGATAGAAACATGGATGCATCAGAGATACATCAATTAGTTGTCTCCCACACATACCCAGACCCTGGCTGGGGGTTGAGCCCGCAACTGAAGTACGGGTTCTTGATCAGAATTGAACCTGGGACCCTTTAGTCTGCAGCCGACGCTCTAGCCCAGCCGTGGACAAACTACGGCCCGTTTGAAATGAATAAAACTAAAAAAAAAAAAAAGACCGTACCCTTTTATGTAATGATGTTTACTTTGAATTTATATTAGTTCACACAAACACTCCATCCATGCTTTTGTTCCGGCCCTCCGGTCCAGTTTAAGAACCCATTGTGGCCCTCGAGTCAAAAAGTTTGCCCTCCCCTGCTAGCCACTGAGCCAAACTGGCTAGGGCAGGTTATATACTTTTGATAATCTATATAGGGACTATGAACAGACTTTAAAGACTTTAAAACTGATCCAAAGTTAGATTCAATGACTTCTCATCCTCCTTTATCCATAGAAAACCACTTACCCTAATCAAAAAGCTATCTAATTTGTCAGAGAGGCTATATAGTACCCATAAAATCTTTCCATAGGACAAAAGTCACAAATAACAAGTCAGTCAAATTTGAATAGGGAAAATCAAAAGTCATTCAACGTTTTTAATCATCGTATATAATCTGAAAGGCAAAACAACTATATCTTGTCAAGGTACATAACCAGGACCATCACAAAATACCTTATATGGCTTTGCATGTGACAATACCTGTCCCAGTGTATCTGGGGAAACTGGGTAATTATAATCTAGGCCACAGGTTATCAAACAGGGGCAATCTGCCCCTCCTTTTACCTTTCCCAACAGACATTTGTCAATGTCGGGAAACATTTTTTGTTTGAAGAGGACAGGATGCTACCTTTTACCTTTCCCAACAGACATTTGGCAATGTCGGGAAACATTTTTTGTTTGAAGAGGACAGGATGCTACCTTTTACCTTTCCCAACAGACATTTGGCAATGTCGGGAAACATTTTTTGTTTGAAGAGGAGAGGATGCTACTATCATATGATGCACAGAATAACTCTGCACAACAAAGAATTAACTGACCAAAATGTTGATAATGCCGAGGTTAAGAAACCACGGTGTTCTACATATTGATTAGAAGCATTTATTCTGAGTCTTTTAGGGACGCCATGCTTCACTACTAATATAGAAATTGAAAGAAAACACAATATCCATTTTCTTTCACCTTTCCCTCAGCCTGTTTCTAGCAAAAAGCCTATAAACCATCACATTTAGTGCCTACTCTTTGTTGTTAAATGAAACAGGATCTCACACATACATAAGAGATTGACAGAAGATGGATAATCCATAAAAGCAAGAAAGAAAGGAAAGAAGGAAGACAGGAATAGAGAAGGAGGTGCTTGGTTATTGCTTCCACAGTTAAATGAAACTAGATCAATCATTCTGCAAGCAGACAATTACAATGGTCTGTTCTATTCTGAGACTGTTCATTTCTAGACTGTTTATTGGCAGTTAGTTTCTTCCCACGCAAGAAACAAACTGCCAATAAAAACAAAGTCATTAGCATTGTGGCCTCTCCAAGGAAACAATGCTTATACAACTGAGGCCACCTAGTGGTTTCAAGTGTGGATCACAGCTAATAGGCCCCAGCACTCCAACTTGAATATAAATTCTGAATTTGGATATATATTCCCTATTTACAAAAGAGGAAATCCCTAGCCTGGGCAACTTAAGAGGTATTCTCAATTTCTTTCATATTCGACCCAATTCAACAAGCATATATTATGCTCCTACTACATATACTAATCTTTAAACTATGACATTGGGATTCTCTAGCAACGTCAATCTAAGAAGAAAAGCCTTAGCTACCTTCCTTCAGAAAGCAGGAACTTCAAAGGTTTTCAAAGAACTGTTTCTCTTATGCCCTAGGCCCACAAATAACTTTAAAGAGATGGAGTACGGCATGCAAATTACATGTCAAAATTTGACCCAAAGAGAAAACTAAACATTAGCAGGAGAATGAGGTTTCTCTTTTCCAATCTAAATGTGAAGTAGCAATAAGATTTGTTGTTAGAGAAGAAAAAAAGTCCATTTGTTTATCTGATCAATCTTTCTTTATATTTGTCTTTTCTCAGCTTGATTACTCAGACCAGTCCAATAGGTCCATTCACTGACACCCACTTCAGAACTTCTATGGCCAAGACAGACAGTCAAGAATGCAAGTATGTTTTTGAACTGCCAGCTCTAAGTCAGTATCAATATCTTGACACTGACTGTGAAAAGGCTGGAGACTCACAGCTTGGGTTCTCCTTCTCAGTTGTGATGCTGGCAATAAAAAGAAAAAGAGTCAGCATCTGGCTTCCTCTCAAACAAAGTTGCTCAGCCCATTTCATCCAAGAAAAAAGATGCCATCCCAAGGGGCCTTTCAGGATATATGTCTCTTGGATGGTACTTAGAGTGTTTCATTCATCATTGTAGCTTATTGATACTCACAAAAAATCTCTTCTTTTGGCAAGCTAATTTTCCATGGACTTCCTCCTTTCTTTTGAAATGATACATTCTTAGAATCTTAAAATCTGTTCACAAACTTGGCAGGGCTAGATTGCTCAGAACCATATTGTAGCCAGCCTTGGTTTATGGTGTGTGCCTCACATTACTCAATGGCAGCCCTGATAAAGAAACTCACTAGTAAGCCAGAACATCCCCACACAATTACTGTTTCCCTCAATTGTTTCTATCTGACATTATGCTAAAGAGAAATAAAGACCAGTACAGGAACAGCAATCGAAAGGAAAGTAAGAGTGTGGGGACCGAGCCAATTTGGCTCAGATTAAAGAGTTCTGGGTTCGATTGCGGTTGGGAGGCATGTGCCCAGTTGCAGGCTCGATACTGCTGGGATGCGTGCGGGAGACAGACGATCGATGTGTCTCACATAGATGCTTTTCTCTCTCTGTCTCTCTCCCTTCCACTCTCTCTAAAAAAACAGTGGAAAAATATCCTCTGGTAAGGATTAAATAAAAAAATAAGTGTGTGGGATGCAGAAGGCACTTACCTGGTCACGATCTCCTGCAAAACAGCAGCTTTTCATGGTACAAGAGTTGAAGTAACCCTGATTGTCAAACTGGAACACAGGCAGGCGGGAGTGGATGTCATAAAGCACAGGGGGCAGGCGACGCCTCAGGGCCAGGAGCTGAGTCCCGTTGCTGTTGAATCGCACACTCATGGCACTTTGAAGGGACAGGTTGCCACCATAGCGTAGGAGAGAACTAGAAGGCACAAAGCACAGGGATAAGGCGTAAGACAGGCTGGGCAAGAGCCTGCAAAACACACTGCACTTATTTCTTCCCAAAATGTGCCCAGGTTCCTGTCAAGCCTGTACATCTGGATTTCGGCAGAAAGGTATTTCTCTGCAGTAAGCTTGAAGGCAATAACAAGGATAGGAGAGCTCCTTGATTACATTAAAGCAAGTTATTTAATCTACCAGTTCCCCTTTTCAATCTCCAAAAGGTGAATTACTACTAAATTTACTTACAAGGATAACACAAGCATCTTGAAAAAAGAGACAAATTAAAAATGATTTGCCATTTCATTTACCTGAGCTAACTATAGAATCAAACACATACTCTGTCAAGATGCTGGGAGATGAGTCGTGTCCATGCTAATTGGCTAATCATAGATGGTATTTAAGGGATATATTTACCATATGTATTAGAGATGTAAGAACCATTAGAAAGAATAACAGATATTTAGTTAATTCTATGTTATTATTTTTAAAAATTTTTATTGACTTCAGAGAGGAACGGAGAAGGAGAGAGGGATAGAAACATCAATGATGAGAGGAAATCACTGATTGGCTGCCTCCTGCACACCCCCACTGGGGATTGAGCCCACAACCCCAGCATGTGCCCTGAATGGGAATCGAACCATGACCTCGTGGTTCATAGCTCGATGCTCAACCACTAACCCACACCAGCCGGACCACTTTATAGTTAATTCTTTAAAAAAAATTTTTTTTTAATCCTCACTTGAGGATATTTTTCCCATTGATTTTTTGGAAGGGAGGGAGGATGAGGAGGGAGGGAGGGAGGGAGGGAGAGGGAGAGAGAGAGAGAGAGAGAGGGAGAGAGAGAGAGAGAGAGAGAGAGAGAGAGAGAGAGAGAAACATCAATTGGTTGCCTCCTGCCAACCAGGCTAGGGATTGAACATGCAACCGAGGTATGTGCCCTTGACTGGGCATCAAACCCAAGACCCTTTAGTCTGTGGGCCAATGCTGTAACCACTGAGCAACTGGCCAGGGCTATAGTTAATTCTGAGTATTTTTCAATAACAATCACTTTATTATTTGTCTTTATTTTTCAATTTTTAATCTGTTCACAGAAAACTTTTATATTCCATATGGCATGACTCAAGAGTAAACATTAAAGAAAAAATTTTAATTAAATGCAGAGCAAGCAGTTACAACTAGAAGAGCAAGATGATGTGTTTCCCTTTACTACATCTGTAATTGGATTCTGCTTTTGGGACTTCATACTAAAAACGGGAGACACTATTTGTCAGTCATTTAAAAAGCAATTAATTGGGGCTTAAAGATATTTCCTATGAAGAGTCTAAAAAAATACTACCAGAAGAGATTTAATATTGAAAGAAGAGAACACATTTTCTTTTCCTTTCTTTTTGGTAAGAGAGTTGGTGGGGGAAATTAAGGGAACAAGAAAGAGATATTCCATGGGGAAAAGAGCCCCTGAAATCAGTGCAAAGGCAACTGCCAACCTCACCTGGTCATAAAAACACAGGCTACACCAAAACTAGCCAGTCAGTCCTATGTCCCCAAAACAGACTTCTCACCAGAGGCAAGAATACTCTGGTACTCCAGCTATGTGTAGAAACAAGTCTCGGGCAAACAGACTCTAATTCTTATGATTGGAACGGCAGGAAAAAGAGACTTAGAACAGTCCCTAGAACTCCAAACATCAAGAAGAAGTCTGGTATCCCTGCAGGCCCCAACTAATAACCTCTGCAGAAAAATGTTCTTATAATGGTCCTAACACAGGCCACAGTCACTCACATACAGAGAATAATGGCGGGGCTGTTAGAGCCCAGGCGTTTCCTTTCCAGGGTGCCCTAGCTCCTACAGGCATGTGGTGTTATCTAAACACTGAGCTCAAAAACAATGAGAGGCTTTCAACCCAAGATCAGCATGGAGTGTGCAAATAAACCAGCATGTGTAGGACTGAAGAGGAGCTGGGGGTGGAAACAAGACTCAACAGAAAGAAACTTGGCTAGCCCCACCAGCACAAGCAGCAAGGGGTTTGTATCAGCTCAGGCACCCCTGACAGGAAAGCTGGGGCCTTTGGCAAACGCCCTTTCCATCTGTTAACAGGAACTTCCTCTGCAGCTTCCAGTCAGGTCTGGAGGAGTCTGCCCAGGACAGGAATCTGGGCCCATCCCATCCCAGCCAGGCTCCCAGACAAACATTGGCAATCTGGCCACTCCACAGGGGTCTTAAGGAGAGTCACTATTTTCTTGCCTATGCTACTGAGCAGGGAACTCCTATTTCTCACACTGATAGGGTAGGTACATAGGAATCTTGCTCCCAGAGTGTTTATGGTGCTATCTAAAGAGCAGCATCTACTAAAGGCTGGCCAGTGTGGCTCAGCAGCTGAGCATCACCCTATGAACCAGGAGGTCAGGGTTCGATTTCAGGACAGGGCACATGTCCGGGTTGCGGGCTCGATCCCCAGTGGGGGGCATGAAGGTGGCGGCTGATCAGTGATTCTCTCTCATCTTTGATGTTTCTATCTCTCTCTCCCTTTCCCTTCCTCGCTGAAATAAATAAAAATATATATACATATATTTTTTTTAAAAAGAGCAGCAGCTACTAACAATGAATACTTCACATCTGGGTGCAAAATTTAATTCCTTCCAAAGGGATGAAATGACACCAGAAAGGGAGCTACGTTAATGGGAATTTCTAGTAGGGGTTCTGCAGCTGGGTCCTCCTTGAAAATGGTAAGCACGATCTAGTTCATCAGAAAGAAAAGACTTAGAAGCAATTTGCCCTCATAGTCACAATATAATGTCAAAGACCCTATTGTTTTCAGTTCTAAGTGTAATGTGCATGAGAAATCAACTGGACGTTTTAATAATGTAAATTCTAGCTAAGATTTGGAAACAGCCCATGTGCCCATCAGCAGATGAGTGGGGAAAAAAGCTGTGGTACATTTACACAATGGAATACTATGCAGCTGTAAAAAAGAAAGAACTCTTACCATTTGCAACAGCATAAATGGACCTGGAGAGTATTATACTAAGCAAAATAAGCCAGTCAGAGAAAGATAAGTATCACATGATCTCACTCATATGTGGAATCTAATGAACAAAATAAACTGATGAACAAAATAGATCCAGAGACATAGAAGCATGGAACAGACTGTCGAACCTCAAAAGGAAGGTGGGGGAGAATGGGTGAGTGGGAAGAGATCAACCAAAGAACTTGGATACTTATATGCATAACCCATAGACATAGATAATAGGGTGGTGAAGGACTGGGATGGGAGTGGGGGGCAGGCTAAAAGAGGTCAATGTTGGGGGGTAGGGTGAGGGGAAGGGGACACATATAATACTTTCAATAATAAAGATTTTTTAAATTAATTAGTTAATTAATTTTTTAAAATGTAGATTTTCAGGATCCACCCCCAGATAGTCTAATTCAGTGTTTTTCAACCTTGTTCATCTTTGGCACACATAAGCTAATTACTAAAATTCTGTGGCAAACGAAAAAATATATTTTTTGTTGATCTGACCAAAAAAAGGTATAATTTTCGCCCTAACAGGTTTGGCTCAGTGGATGGAGCATCAGCCTGCGGCCTGAAAGGTCCCAGGTTTTATTCCGGTCAAGGGCATGTACCTTGGTTGTGGGCACATCCCCAGTGGGAGGTGTGCAGGAGGCAGCTGATCGGTGTTTTCTCTCTCTTCGATGTTTCTAACTCTCTATCCCTCTCCCTTCCTCTCTGTAAAAAATCAATAAGATATATATATATTTTTTAAAAGGTATAATTTTGATTGATTTACAAAATAATTAATAATAGTAATGATCTACCCTTTTTGCTCCAAAGTGAATTTTAAAAAATCAGGTGCCTATACTTGTATAATGGTTTCTGGTACCAAGAATTAACCAAGAATATGCAACTCTATTATATGACCTATATATTTATGGTTCAAGACAGGGCATTCACATCGGACAGCTAATATTGTGCTAGTTTTGACAAGCTAAGGGAAAAGAGGTTAGTACCCCTGAATAAGAGTCAGGTATTGAATGTTTTAAAAATTCTTGTGGCACACTGGTTGAAAAACATTATTCTAATTCAATCTGGGAAGTGAGCTCAGGAATCTGATTTTAACAAGCAATCCAAATTAATTGTGATGAATGCAACCTTCAAATCACACTTTGAGAAACATGGTTCCATTTGGAATTTTGGGGAGTGGGAATCAGGAAGGGGGCTCGAGGGGGGCGGGGAACCAGGTGGAGAGAAAGAAGATGAAAAGCCGACCAAACTATATGGCACTTTTAATGAAAAGCCAACCACACTATATAGCACTTTTTACAGCCCCGTGTCTATTAACAGAAAGATCTCCAATTCCTTTTAAGATTAGAGTTCCACTTCACCAACAATGCCTGAAATGATGTTTTCCTGTCCTCAACACATTCTCTGAAGGGGAAGAAGTTTCTCATATCCTCTTGAAGAACTGAGGATACTTGTATATAATAAGAATGCCTCAATCCCGACTTGCTTTCTGGGTTCTGATCTTAATAACAGAGATGCCACTAACTCCACTCCTCCAGAGAAATGGCCACCATTACACACCCAAATAAGGTGAGAAGTATTTTGAAAGGACTAGCAACAAGTTAAAATGGGTTTAAATCAAAATATACCTATACAAAATAAAAGCAATATCCTATTCCCAATCTATCTTCAACCAAGGGTCTGTCATAAAATGCAATAGGAATGGGGTCGGAGGTGATCCGAGGTCAGCATACAAAAGACCCAGGATGCAAAGCAAAAGAACCCAAACATCAGGAAGATATTCTTCACTAGCGTGGTTTCCTAGTCTTTGCACACCCCGCTCAAATACTCAACTTGACTTCTTTATTGCTTGAGTGGAACATTCTTTAATATTAAAGTTTTTTAATGTTAAAGGACATTAAAAGGAGTACTTGGCCAAGGCTATGGCCTTGAAACAGAAGAGAAACAAGTTGAGGTTGTGT